AAAGTAGCCAGGGGCCATGCTTGTAGAAGCCAATAGAAATCCCACCCTCCTCCCTGCTTAGTGATAGCCCTGAGTCTTTTCTAGTATTCTTTTAAAATATAAAACATAAGACCAGAACCAGTGCTTACTCAGTGTCTCTTCACCCAGGTAAAAAAGATGGGTACTGGCGACATTACCCTGTATGTTGTGGAAAACCCTTAACTTATCAGAATTCTATCTGTATCCAAGAAGCAATATCTCAAGTTGCAACAATAATTACAGTCACAGAACATGTTGTAATATCTAGCTATGTGGTGACCCTGTGTGAGTGCACTCTTGTTACTAGTTGGCTTTTTTGTTAACAAACTTCTCTATTGTTCTCAACATAGCCCTGCATGCAGGTCAGTATACATTTCAAGTAATAAAAGACTTTTGATTTCCCCTTTCAGTGCAACAACCACGCCCAAGTTCCCCTCACGTTCACTTCAAGGAGCCTCCAGTTGCTGGTGAAGGGCATGACAGTGCAAAAGAACATGGGAGAAAATCTCCTATGGTATCACCCATTCCACACAAGAGTGCTGTTGCAGCCCAGAGGTCAACTGTACCTTCTGATAACAGGGTTGTGGTGAACCTGCCTAATGCCTGGTCAGATGTGTCATCAACAATCTCACTGTAAGCTACATGTATGCTGACCAAGGACCAAGGGACAATCCCCTCTTCTAATGACCCAATGACTTAAAGTACTCCTACATCCAAACAGGATGCACCTTGCTTGTACAGTTAAATACAAACCACGAAAGTAGCCGTTCAGTAATAACTTTCGAAAATATACTGGATACATGTATATAAAAATCACCAAGTCTTATTATACACTGTATGTATAGAACTGCCAGACAAATAAAAAATTTAACTATACACAAGAAACTGTGATGATCCTTTTTACATTCACACATCCATGTGCCAGCTTCAACTCAGAAACTTAACAGATGGCACTAGCAGTACAAGTTAAGTATCTTTTTGTAATAACATATTCATTGTTGACTGCCAAAGAAAGCAATTACTAAGAGACAGATACATTAAGCTTTCTCTCTGAGGTCATGTAGACAATGACACAAAATGATACTAACGGCACTAGAGACAATTTGTTAGCGCACTAACGTTCATGTATTTTACATGTACCTCCCAATAATGAGAATTCATCTTACAAAGATGGCAAATTCACTGTACCCAGGGTTCTCCCAGTGTTGAAAACTCCTTGAATTTTAGGGAGAGTCATTAAATTTCATTTTTTCTTGAAAAGTCATTAAATTTCTGTGAAAAGTCCTTGAATTTTCTTTACTTTTTTTAAATGCCTCTTTGTTGTCCAAGACCCGGAATACAAGTCATAGCTCAGAGAAGTTAATGGTGGTTTACATAAAGCGTTTTTTTTGTATGTAAGATTTTACTATCAATAATTTAAGATTAGTGAACTGAAAAATATAGAGAAGTTGATGGAGCAAACACTTTAAGCCTTTAAGTCCTGTTAGAATGGACTGAGAGTGTGCATTTTTGTATAATCTGTGAAATTACATCCCTTGTAGATGGTCCTTCAAAATCAAATGTGGTCCTTGAAAAAACCTTTAAAAGTGGTTTCAATTTTTTATACGATCCCTGGTACCCTGTACCCCTCTTTTCAAAGAAGACCACTCTATCATAATTCAAACATAAGTTTTAATTATAATTTGGGTTTTGAGAATTACAGTTACATGTATTGCATGATTTTAATAATATTATTTCCCTTTGCCTTTTTTCCCTTTCTTTTTCTTGGAGCTTGCTGCAGTTCCTGGCTGTTGGCTGGAACTGTCACTTTGTGAAGACTTGGTTTGACGACTCTTCAGCTTTGGGATCATTTCACCAATGAACTGAAATAACGCTTTTCCTTTACAAAGAAATATTATAAATAGAGATAATGTTAAGAAAATGTACATTCAGTGATCAAAAACATAAATACTAAAACTGTAGCAGTCATGATGGCGGGCAGGTTCTGGCAATGAGTTCCATAGTTTAGGTACAGCAATTAATGAGAACGACCAACAGCCATAGCCCTTCAACTTAGCTATTGGTACCATTAGGAGTTTCTTAGAAACAGATCTTAAACTTCTTGATGGTCTGTAGAGTTGCAACATTTCTGTTACGTAGGAAGTTGCTAACCCACGTAAAGCTGAAGTCATAAGAAGATTTTTTTTCAGATTAACAGCTTGGCTGTGTCTCCTTTTTTTAACCCATTGGCCAAATTATGTCTGGGTAACTGATGAAAGACTCCATCACATGAAAAAAAAATCATGTCTCTAGACTGCTTAAAAGTCATGGTTTTTTCACAAAATCGCTGTTTACAAAAGGTTTTAAAAAGATCACCGCAGCTGCATGTGAAGGGCCTGGCAGATGTGCAGCATTGGAACAAAACCATCTTCCCTGTCTACCCTCCATTTTCAATCTTGCTCCAGACAAATTGTATCACCAGCACAAAAATATAGCTGTTTTGCCATAAATTGGTTTAGAAAAATATGAAAATGTGAGAACACCTTGAGTTGCCAACAGGGTTGAGTCTATGACTTGTTAAAGATCAGCACCCTAGCCAACTGAGCTACACAGAGAGACTTATGACCACACATACTTAGTGTTTTGTCTGGCTGTGTGCTAGAGAAAAAGGCAAACAAATGCTGATATGGAACTAGTGATCGGGCTGCAATAATTATCTTAAAGTGCATGTACATGTAATCTACACACTATAACAAGTGTCAACCTTACTTGACTGAAATTTTTCGTTGACGAAGCTGCTGTCACTGTTTTTTAATTGCACTCTCACCCGACCTCTGCACATGGCATCTTTAGCACTGTCTCTGGGATAATATTTGTTCTGAGAAAAAAAAAAATTAAATTGACAAGATGTAAATCAGATGCACCAAATATTTCACTTCAACTTACTAGGCAGACCAAATCGATGAAGAAGACCGCAAGGCGGCTTCAAGACTTGATCACACTTTTGTGCTCGCTCAAAAACTTAACATTACCTCGATTTCACAGTTGAGACCTTGACTTTGGCAGACATCCCTTATTTCATGAACTGTTGGGTTATCAGCTGCCTGTGTAGATGCATAAAAATATTGTACTTATTAAATGATACTAATCAAATTACCAGTAATTCAGCACTTCAGATCATTAAATGAACATGTTAACAACAACAAAAAATCCTGTTCTCTTAAAATACCATATCATATTATATAATAATTTTATATGGTAGTAAAGAGTCAACTTTCATTCTTTTAACATCATATATTTGGCTTCAATATGATGAAGGGAGTAAATGTTACTTGAACTGGAAAAGAGAGCAATAATGGAGTGCAACTTAATGTTCTTTCAAGTTTTCCTTGATGTGACCATTCAAGAGAAACCTTTTTGCTTACACTCAAGGTAAGTAGCATTTTTCACAGAATTTAAAGAGAACATTTGTTTCAGCTGATTTTCACCTTGCTTGTGTCTTATATAACCAAGTGAGTATTACTATCAATAAATGTTAACTAATAATATTTAATATTATTATTACAATTAAAATTTCATATAATATTTTTCATTATGCTTACAAGTACAAAGAAAAAGCCATATGTAAAGACAAGTGTTTGAAGCTGCCCTGATTTCACGCATCGGCCTTGTCCAAGTCAAAAAACAAAGTGACTCTGTCATACTATAAACACTAGAACAATAGCGCAACAGATGTGATCGGCGAACTGTTCAGCTGTTTTTTGTCGGCCAATATATCGACTTTTTCCAGTCACAGTATAAGCTAAAGTTAAGAATATGATAAAAAGAAAAGTCACCACTAGGTATGTAAGTGAGAAGAATCTGCGAGTTCTTCTCCACGTTTATTGCATCGAACCTTCCGTACCTTAGTTTTTGGAACACGTCGACCTTGTTCAACGGTTCTTCGACTATTTAAATACGCCGGGTAAACTATAATCCACCTGAAATAGGAAACCTTACAAAATCAATACAAATGAACTAACAAGGTCGAAATCAGGAAGAGATACTGCAGAGAATACATCGAATCTTACCTTTCTTTTAACGAAGGGTCGCTGCTAAGATGCGCCATCTTGATAATATTTGATACACTTCTTTTGCCATACATGACGTACTATAGGTTCATTTTGTACCGCTGACCGAAAGGATTCTGTGCTCAGACTTGAGCCCGCGTTCCCCGTCAATAACAAGAGAAAGAAATCGAAAGGAAAACCGTTGATAGTATTATAAAGAACATGGAGTTTTTCCTCGATCTGTTTTGTATCTTTTGAAACATCGATTAGCTGCTGGAAGATTATAGCTAAAGGATTTTATCCTGGTCTTAATACAAGGTGAACATTTGTGCGGTTCACTTTGATTATTGGTGGAAAGAAAAGGGCGCCAAATATGACTATGATTGAAACAGTTCGTCAGCGGCAGAAAAACTCCACAGACTTCGCGTCTTGCTACGATAACCTTTGCGCCTTGCAGAACTCTTGCCCTCTAGGATCGATAACTGCAAATCTTGATGAACTCACTATTGATTGCAATGCTGATCGAATTCGGCATAGTGACTGGACACCGATCCTGAACGCTCTGAAAATCAATAAAACTTTGAAAATTGTGGCCTTTAGGAGCTATTGGCAGCAAACACTTTATCCAGACGGAGGTAAGATTACTGATGAGTTTTGTTTTGTTCTTTCAAAGCCAGATACCGGTTTTACCAATACCGGTACAGTCAAACTCATGGACATCAAAGGGGCAGATACCAAGTATCCGCTTTACATAGGTGTCTCTATTATAAAAGGCTGATTTTCACTGGCGACTGATTCGAAGTTGGAATCTTAAGGCCTAGAGGAGTCATGTTAAAAAGAGTGCTTTTGACGGAGTGAAAATGAAAAAAAATTAGAGTCGTAAGCCGAGATATAGGCTTGACAAAATTGGAATCAGGAGAATCAGAACACTTTCGTTATCTTCCGACTCCACCTATGACTCTGTCGTCTCTCACAATTTAGTGAAGAAGCAGAAGCGGAATGATAAACCAGTTATTACACTGCTAATTCCCACACTTTGTGATTGGTTAAGTTCATCCTCTTCTGCTTGCGCATCTCACCGCCTAGTTTTCACTAGACTTAAAGTGATGGAGTCGAAAGCGGAATCAGAATGCAGTGTTCATAAGATCATAACGCTCTATGCTTCTGCTTATGATTCTGAATCTGATTCTGTCCCTTGTGAAAACCAGCTGTCAGATGACGTGAATTTGGCTTAACTTCAGAATGCCCAGCCACTTATTTAAATGTACACCTCTCTTGAATAACAAAGTGCCTACTATGTTATGCTTCATTCTTTAAAGCAGTAGTTGGGCATTCCTAAGTTGCTCCTTAAAGAGATTTGACTTTATTGGTTTCCATTGTGTATGTTCACTTTCAGTCAGGTAAAGGAGTACGCAGATGGTAATAGGATGTGATCCAAAAGAAAACAACACTACTGGTAGCAGGGTGCAAAGAAAATCATTTTTACAGCTTGCCATTTGGGCAAGCTGTAGTTAGCATTTACTAGCCTAGACGTCATTTCAACTAGCCCCCAAAAGTGTTGTTCTTCTGTTATTCAAATTCCTCAGAAAACATCACTTGCCCATAGGGCAAGTTAAAAACAGAATTCACTAGCCCGATAGCAAAATCCACTAGCCCCGGGCTATCGGACACTACTTTCTTTGCAGGCTGTGGTAGGCAGTGGTCAACATTCACAGACAGATATTCACAGTACTCTGTTAATTGGTGGAAGAAAAGTTTACTGTCTGATGTTATGTCATGTGACCTTAATAATAGCCAATGACAAAGTGCTTTTGTGCGAAAAATTTATTCTGTGTTCACTGCTGTGATTACAGTTTGCACTTACGAGTGACTTTTATGTGGCCTTAATCTGCAGAAGTTTCAGAACAGCGTTTACAAGCGTTGAGGAAGAAAGCTCCGGCAATTCGCAGCAAGGATGTCACTTATCGTGTCTGCAGGTACACTGTTTCACAAAACTCTAAATAAGCAAATAAATAAAGAATTTAATCTGTATAATTATTATGAATAATATTAATGTTGTTCTGAGTCATTTACATGTATAAAAAGTCTTTACTCAATTTTGAATCTTCAGGACAATCAAAGAATGCTTATGTGTCACTGAAAACCTGAATAAGATAATTTTTCAAGGAATTCCTTTGCGAGAAAGAGACCTAACTTGTTTGGCAAAGGTAACTGCTATGTTTTTCAATTTTGTTTAAGAACTGATATGAATTATTGCTTTTGGAATGAATTGTCCTTTAACCTTTGAAGTCCAGACATTTGGCATAAATTTACTTTTTAATACTTTGAGTACATTTCAGTGTCATGTATCTTCCTTAACAATATGCTACATGCATTTTCTAACCTGGGCTTTTTTGTTTTAGGGTATTACAAAAAACAGAACTTTACAACATCTGTCACTAGAATTTTGCCAAATTGGGGATAGTGGTGTTGACAGTAAGTGAAAAAATACAATGTACTTACATGTACCAGTAAATGGCTTATGATAGCTTTTTAGATTACTTGCCAATAAATTAATAGCCTGCAAATTTATTTCTAGTAGGGTTACACTGAATGGACTTTGTTCTAGCAGTGCCTGGTAGCCCTGTATGCTGCCATGGGCACCTGTATTTAACAAGGTCAAATCACTGTTACCTACAATTTGTTTTTAAACCACAGCCTTGGTGAAGATGGTAAAAAGTGCCTATATACTAGCCTGAGAAAACAGCCGACATTTGGTAACACTACCACTGGTTTCCCCGCGAAATGACGTCTGAGTAACGAGCGCAGAAATTCCATACTGATGACATGTCACTACTAAGATCTGGGTAGTGCTTCTGATTGGTTGAATCAAATTTCCCATGTGACATGACCAATCAGAAGCACTACCCAGATCTAGGTAGTGATGCGTCATCAGTATGGAATTTCTGCTCTCGTTACTCAGACATCATTTGGCAGGGAAACCAGTGGTAGCGTTGCCAAATGTTGGCTGTTTTCTCAGGCTACCTACCGGTATATATAACATGTAGAGCTGTATGCACTAATTAATTGTTTTTCTGTTATCTTGTAGTTCTTTGCAATTCGATAAAAAATAATACATCTGTAATAACTGTAAACTTCACTGGCTGTAGTCTTACATGGAGAGGAGCCGACACCCTGGCTAAAGTGATACGGGTAATTTGAGTTTATTTCATTACAATGTACTTGTGTCCACATTATGTGAGCTGGGGCTGACCAACAACCACCCTTTCACTCAAGTTATTAGCCGGTGTGAAAAGTTTACAAAAATTCCAAATTTCTTTTTGTACAATCCAAAGAAATAAACAGTACTACACTGTATGCAAAGTTCTACAAAAGAGTTAGAATTATTTAATCACAGATTTAATAGTTAGATCACTGTGACAAGTTATCCTGCTATAAGTTGGTCTAACTGTCACAAACACATAATCAATTTACACCTTGCATTGCCATTGATTTGTCTCACCAAATTCAACATGTTAACCACTGTTAAAAACATTCATCATTTTAGCATCAAGCCACAAGACGTCACAGTGTTGCATGGCAAGACAGCCTGCGATATCGCCGTCCAGATCTGGATAGAATGCCTGGAGTTCGCCGTATAACAGTTTGTAAAAATCCACTTATCAATGATCGTGGAGCTGAGCTGATAGCTGAGGCATTAAAAGATGACCTCTGGGTCAAAGGTTAAAATTCTTTAAAATTTAAAATTTCGATTTATGTAAAACAAAAGATAGTGAGCCAAAATATTGTTTTGATTATGTCACCTGAATATTAATCTGAAGCCTCCTTACAAAGCTACAACTGTGTGCAGTCATTGCCCTCAATGCTTAATATTCCTATATAGCATTTCAAGACTGACAAAAAACCACTGAATACAATAAATAAATTGATTAATAATTACTGACAGTTGTATCGTAGGTACCTCCAAGTTTTAATGGCTATTTGTCTCAACATACATGTAAATTTGAATGGTATAGCTATGGGATTTGAGAGACATAAACTAGGGGGAAAATAGCTTTCGACGCAACTTGACCAGCAAAGTTACTGCCCCGGGCTATCATGCTACACTTATAACTAAAAAGATGCACCAGTTATGGTCCCTTTGATGTAAATTCTATTAATTTTGATACCCTATCTTACCTTCTCTACCTGTATAGCTTTAGACATGCAACAATGTGGTATCTCAACTGAGGGAGCGATGACCTTTCAACCAGTGCTAAAATTCAACTCCACAATCACTGTATTGGACCTCAGACTTAATCCTCTAATTGGTTAGTGCTGTGCAGCCTGTTGTCTTTTGTATTGTATTTTATATTGTAATTTTGTTGACCCACAAAACACTTACTAGGAGTTCATAAGAACTCAATTAAATGCTGTGAAAGGTTTGAACCCAGGAGTTCAAAAGTAGGTTGAGTTTGATCGTCTGGGTGAACGAATGGGTCCCTGTGTTCTTGATCAAATTAACATTAATTTTGGAATGTTTGTTTTTGACAAGAGGGTAAAACTGGACTACCTGGAGAAAAACCTTTTGGAACAAAGGAGAGAGCCAACAACAAACTTAGCCCATATGCAAACAAGAATCAACGCATTTGCAATGTTATCATTTAAAAAGCTTTTTGTTTTAAAGTTTTCAACAGTGTCCTCCTAAATTTTCTTGTTTTTGCACAGAACGAGAGGTTTTTGGATCACTGATGGAGCAGCTGATGATAAACACAGGAGACACTGAATTAGAAGTAGGTGAATGATTGTTTTAAGGCGTTTCCTGTTTGCTGTGAATGTGATTCTTAATCTCATTCTTATAAATGTAAGCAAAGTTATGGCAAAGAGTGCTAAAGAAAAAAAAAATGTTTTAGTTATTTTTCTGTTTTCTTTCTTCAGTATCCCTGGCTGGTAATTCGTGAACCAAAACCTGGAAGAATCAGACCACGTAAACAAGGGGGACCGTTTAAAGGTAAAACTGCAACTTCACAACATGGACACCGACCAGGAAGGTGAGTTCTTCCTTTGACAACCAGTCCAG